TGACTATAATCGATCGCCATACTTTTTAAGATATTTCCTATAGGTTGACAATAAAATGTGTTTAACAAAAGTTGTTTGGCTCTAATAAAGAATTAATTACGTAAAAAGTTTCAAATTGGTTTTTTTTCCTTTTTTTTTTTTAGAAAAAGTCAAAGTCAAATTGAATATTTTTTAAATGAAACTATATATTTTTCTTTCTGTTTTGCATAGTCAATGGCACTAGTGGCGAAGGAATATCAATGTCTGTTGCCGAAAGGAAACTTGTTACCGAAGCCTGGGTAAAGGCAGTAAAAGAAACAAAGCAGCACCTAATGATTCAAGTAGGAGGCGCACCTCTTCCCGATGTTATCGAACTTGTAAGTATATTTGTTGATATACGGATACAGCGAATAATAACATTCATCCCACTTTTAACTGAGTAATAAAACAAAAATAATTTATAGGCGAAACACGCAAGTAATCTGCACGTGGATTCTATTCTCTGCTTACCAGAATTGTACTTCAAACCTAGCACCCCTAAAGAACTGATTGAATACTTGGAAATAGTTGGCAAGGCAGCGCCAAAAACACCGTTATTGTACTATCACATTCCTATGCTGACTAATGTTAACAGTAAGCGATCATTGCACATTTTCAATATATGTATGATATAATCAATGACATAATTTATAAAATTGATATTTTATTGTACACATACATGTATATGTATCACGTCATAAATATCATGTATAAATGTACATTTTGTAGTACACATGGGACAATTCCTTGAATCTATTGGTGACAAAATATCGTCATTCGTCGGTATAAAATTCACCAGTAACAATTTAGAGGAAGGTGCACAAGCATTACATGCCGATAATGGAAAATTTGTTATTTTCCTCGGTAATGATCAGGTATTGAAAAAAAAGTTATTTTAATTAAATGACAATGAACTAATTAAATGAACTAGCGCTTCTTGAACAGAAAATAAGCCAGAAAGCTTATAGTAACTAGCTTATAGTAACTAGCCAGTTACAATGAGTGCAAAAAGTATTTGTACAAGAAAAAATTTTTATAAACAAGTTTCATTTGCAGAAAATAAACATTAATTAATAATTTTATACAATGAATACGTTTTGTTCTAATATAAACGAGCTTCAAATGTGATTTTAAATTTTTTGATTTTAGAAACTAATTCCTCGATTGTAGAAATGCTTTTTGTTCAAATAATATCATTTTTAATTTTGCTTATTTTTAAGATAATATTTTATTAATTACACATCTTTATTTTATTTAATTACACATATTTTTGACACAAAAATGTTAAGATACAGTCTATTTTGTTCTTTATGTATAAATTGCTAATTATCCAGTAAGAAATGACTATTAATCATACATTGACGTTGAATTGGTGTCGAAATCATCTCATCAATATTTATTCAATATTAATTTATGAATTATTCCTTACTGGATAATGTTTACTTTTTAAAAACAAAATTTTTTAAAATTTTCTCTGCATGTACAAATACTTTTTACACTCACTGTAAATGCTAAACTCGATGTCATGCAGTTATTGACTATACTGTTTTATTTTCTATCCAGTTTGCGCGTTCTCCAGTATAATGAAAATATATTTAATTTATTCTGATTCTGTAGTTAATGAACGCTGCGTCTGTATTGGGATTTGATTCCTTCATAGTAACTACCATAAACATATTTCCGGAACATATACAGCAGCTTCTTGCTGTTTACAAGAATGGAGATATATTAAAAGCCAAAGATATACAAGAGAAGCTCACAAGCGCTGTGATTGCTATAATGAAACATGGTAAGTATATTTTTCATCTTATAAAGTGCAGATTGATTGTTATAAAAAAATCAATTATTTGTAGGTAATTGGGTACAGTCTATGAAAGAAGCAATGGTTCTTCTTACCGACATTAATATAGGTCTACCTCGTCTACCACTTAAACCTATTTCTTCTGATGCTGTAGCAATTATGACGAAGGAATTAACAAACTTAGGATATCAGCCAAAAGTTAAACATTATTGAGAATATCTTAATTCTTTCTTCAATTTATCACGTTTGTGTGCTTTATGTGCACCATATTATAATATAGTGTCATAAGGCATCACATTTCAGATTTTCTAATGAATTGTTACTAATCATGAGCATAAATATTATAATGTAGTGTCTTTCAAAAATGTATTATACAGCAATTAAAAAGATTAACTTATATATAATAGTGTACAAAATGAATGAAAGTTGTGATTGTTATATATATTGCGTTATATATATTTTGTATATTAATTGTGTGTAAAATATAAATAATTATATAATTTATGCAGTATAAGTTTTTGCAAGTACGTATACTCCAAGCGAAAAGTTTTAAAACATTTTTTTAAAATTAACATTTTTAGAAATATTTACAAAAATATTTGTTAATATGTTTTTTAACAATAATTCTTCAGATCTAATAAAATAATAATTATTGTATCTAAAGAATTATTGTTAAAAAAAAATAAATTCTTATAAATATTTGAATAAGTAATCCTAAAAAAGTTAATCAATATTTAAAAGTGTTTCCAAACTTTTTATTTGAGGTGTAGTGTTTCAATTTATTTTTTCATATATTCTTATAGTAACATTAGGTTTAATAATTATCGTAATAAGTGAATAATGATAAATTTTACTCAGCACGTATATAAAAATAAGATTTATTTTTGTATTTGTCAAATATTTGTAAAGTTATTAATTTTCATAGAAATTGTTTATGTTTAATTTATTCTTTGTCGTATTAGTTTTTATTTTATTCATTCTGAAGAGAAAAATATAATGAGCCAAAACATAAAAGAAAGTTTAACATTTTGTAATGAAAGTTAGAGATTGAAACGAGAATTTTAACTCGAGAATCATCGAAATAATCAAAACAGAATGAAAATACACAAAATATTTATATATCTACAAACACATACACATACGTGTGGAACAGAATGCTGATAATTAAATGAAATTTAATTAAATGAAATTAATTTAAAATTTTACTCAATTTTTAGTTTCTCCTTTTCAATTATCAAATAGATATATACATACAATGCCATATATCTCTATCAACTATATTATACACTTTATTAGTAGATTTATTATGTAATTATTATATCTTTTAATTATAAATTATTAATTTTTAACTTAATTATTAGTTTTTTAATTAACCGATCGCGAAATTTTATTCAAGCGTCATTATTATGTTTTTCTAAAAATTTATTGACTTGCCCTAGTGTGTGTGTGTGTGTGTGTGTGTGTGTGTGTGTGTGTGTATTAGAGCCTATAATCAGAGTGGTCATACGAGAAATGACGTCATATTTTAGCGAAATTCTGCGAGAGAGAAAGAGATATACGGTCTCAGTCTATCCAACAGACTGTCAGTTTTAGGGTTAGGTGCAGCAGCATTGAACGACATAGATATGTAAAGGTACATTGATAAAAATAAAATTATCGAAATGATTTTAGAAATATGGTTGGATGTACAATACCGTTTTGTAACAATTCATTAAAAAAAGGGTATGTAATGAAAATAATTCCAAAAGACACAGAACGCCGAATGAATTCGTTAAAGAGTATAAATGGCAAATATAAAAATTAGACACTGTCAAAAAATTCATCTGTATGTGAGGTAAAGTAATTTATTCTTTATAAATAATGTATTTAAAATATTAAAATAAAAATGTAACATAAAATATACACAGATTAATTATAATATCTGAAGACACGACAGTGTCTTGGCACTAAGTATATGTATAGTCATTACATTGGTTACGAATTTAATTCTTCTCTTTTTGTCGTAATCTTTTCAATTATATATCATTGCATTGTGAGTCTAAATTAAATAATATGATAATTACGATATTTAATATATAATATTTTATGAAATGGTATATACATATATAATATTTTTCTGAATTTTTGATTTCTTTTATATTATTACTGCATTTTGCTCCTAAAATGTAAGAACAGAGAATGGATAATAAACTAGCGCATTTAATAGCGCAAATAATGTGCAATAAATAATGTTTTGTATAAAGTAATGTGTTCAATATTACAAAATATACAATATTGCAATAGTACAAAATAAATGAAATTTTATAATAAATAATATAAAAAATGTAAAAGTTTTATTATTTTATATGCAATATTTATTTATTATCATTTTTTAATTTGTCACAATTTTTGAGCATGAATTCAAAATTTAGAATATAATGCGTTTAAAAAACTGGAGGGAACGGCTATAACATGGCGAACCAATCACAAGTAATACCTTTAGGTGTCACTCTGATTGTAGGCTCTCTAGTCGTATCCAATTCAAGAATTAACTTTAACGTGTATTTTTGCTATAATATATGTAACGTAAGCTATAGTTTAGTGTTATCTGGGCATAATTCCTGAACGCAGCCCAGTGCAATAAACATTAAGGCTGGTATTCACAATCGATTCTTATTTCCCAGACGGAATTACATATTTTAAAAAATTATTTTTATTAATCCCAAATATTTAAATAAAGTATTTAATATTTCAAATGTTCGATCAAGATATTTGAACTAGTGGCGTAACATGAAAATAAATAAATATAAAAATTTATCAATCATTGATCTGAAATAAAGAATATTACGTTGACAAAATGCAATTTAAAAAAATATAAAAACGAGTAGATTTTAATTTAAAAAATTCTCTTATCATCCCTTCCATTTCAACTTGCAATGAATCTCGTTCGAACTTGATCGTGTGTGTGCGCGTGACCCGTGTAACTTTCCAACCTAAAAAAATGGAAGCCACGAGTGTGGAGTGTAACGATTTTTTAGAATTTCAGGTATTTTCGATAGCGGGGCTTAACATAACACTCGTGCATTTGCACACCGCATTATACGAGTATATCAAACATACATATATTTAACAATGCTTAAGTTAATTTAAAATAAAATATTAAAATTTTTTTTAATTGATGCCGGTGGTTATTATCTTACATATTTATATGATACAAAAGAATTATGCTGTGCTACAAAGAAAGATTACTTAAAAATTAATGATACGTAGAATCTCAATGTTATTGTCAAAGTTACGTCTTTTTCTAGACGTATTTGTATATGGGCAACTTTAATGAGAGGTTAGGAACGTGTTTGTACGTGAAATTAGCTAACAATAAGTGCAACAGAAATATGTATATTTAAGTTCAAATATATAATGTAATCATTCATTCACATTTCTACGTATACCTTCATGTACCTTCTCATTTTTTAAAAATATCAATACATAATTGTATTCAGATTATATGTATAATTACATGATAAATATACAAGTAAAATAAAAACATGCAATATGTATTTCAGGATACGTTAAAAAAGATGCGACAAATAGATGATAAAATAATTTACATGCTGAACACTACAATTCCTACTGAATCCTTCAAAGGTCAAGTGGATCCTACCACGCAGTGTAAAGACTTGTTCCAGCAAATAGAATCTGAGCACAAACAGAGGACACAAGCGATTACAAGATGCGTGGACATTACTAAGCAAAGAGTAATGCAGTTAAAAAATTTGAGAGAGAATGGTGATGAAAATCCGACGTTAATAAAAAATTTGAGAAATGAACAGACCAAATTAAGACTGTTATGGTCTGAGCTTAATATAGAGGAAGTTATAAAAAAACGTACAATACAAGTGTATTACGAGAGGTGCCGTGGATTCTACAAACCATTACACGTAGACACATAGAATTTCCGAATAATCTGAAGATTGACACATGATTATTTGAATGCTATTATTGAATTGTTACAATATAATTATATATATAGTAATTTTGTAAACTGACTGAAGTTCGTCTCTTAAATCATTGTTATTTTGTGATGATGTACAATATATATTGATTCTCTTGTAAGAATTTATTGTAATTGTTCATTATATACAAGGATAATTACACAGATTACAGATTATATATTTAAATATTATAGCAATCAGAATGCTTACTAAATTTAATGAGAATCGGACATTTCATTACATACATATATCAACGATCTAAATGTAAATAAAATACATAATTTTACAATAGATACTTGTACATACATAGAATGTATTTTATTACCGCTTTGTTACTACGAAAGATTTGGAAGAACAGCCTTATATATTACAAATACAAATTATTAGAACGATCAAAAATTAAATGTTTGTTATATAATATCTTTATTATTGTTAAAAAATATCATGTGGAAATCTCATTTTTAAATAATAACTAATCGAGATTTATAATATCCATCTGTGCTTCCCAGAAAATTTATTCTAAAGATTAAATCCTAAAGATTTCTATATTTTCCTAATATTTACAATCTATGTCTTTTTATTTTCTGTGATGATTTCTTCGAGCCACTTTTCTCTTTGTTTAAACAAACTTTCTCCTCTTTTAGCATCTCGTTTTCCAAGTAATACAGCGCCTATACAACCAATTATGGTAAAAACTATCATATAATTACATGTCTTGATTCGTGCTTTACTTCTTGCACCAAGTATACAGTCCACTCTGTTTAAGAAAACATTTACTTATTAGATGATATAAAATAAGTTAATCACAAAAAAGCTTATTACATATGAAAAATGTTATAAATATATTTCTTAAATCCAAAATTTACTTCAACAATAATATTATGAGTTATATTTCTTACAATTTTGTGATTGTCATTGTTAAAAGGTTCCACTAAAGATAAATCAATTTCAAATATATCGAAATTTATGTTTTTGTATTAAATTTCTATTTTTTGTTAAATGATTTCATATGGTATAAAAATAGATGCAACACATACGTAACATCCTTAGGAACATCTGCAATACTCGGATATCGTTTTACCCAAACAAGTATTTTCTTGTCAAAATTAGTTACCCGATGCATGCGTGTACCTATAAAATGTGTACATATAGAAATTACATTTTTATTTTATATATTGCACATCTTTTAGAATTAAATCGTAAATTAAGTAGGAATTTGTAAATTACTAATAATAAACTTTTAAGTAATAGTTCTTGAAAATAAATTTAACTACAAACAAGATTCTATTAATCAATTTTATTATTAAGCATTAATTTGTATATAGAAAGTATTATATTTATCTTATCCTTACCTATGACACTTTCCTTTGTAGGTTCATTGCTTGTTTGTGCAGGAATTTTATCTACTTTATTAATTTCTCCTAAAATACTGCTACGAGTAAAATATCGTGTTATACGTAACTGAATATTACGAATAAATTGTCCTGACAGCATTCTATAAACAAAAATAATTGGTATATTAATATAGAATAAAATTAATAGGTATCTGAACTTCTTTTCTAGTTTTTATATAAAATTATTTTACAGAGTATTTTCGAGATAATCTTTCGAAATTTAAAGTGTCAATGTTATTTTTATAAAAATTTCTTTACCAAATTACAGAAAAATTTTACATATGGAAAAATAAAAATTTATGCAAAAAATATTCAAGAACTTATATAAAAGAAAGAATATATTAATATTAGAGAATATTGACTTATTTCAGATAATTTTATCTGAATACACAATTTTATTTTCAAAAAGCAATGTTATAAAGTAACAAACGTTTAATTTTAATCATTAGACTGTTTTATAAAACAATGCTGAAAAGAAATCTCTTTAGTTCTTTTAAAAGAGCTTTTCTTTTATTTCAACATAAAAAAAAATTTAAAATTTCTTTTTTAATTCTTTTATCCAGATTTTAAAAAATTTAATGCTATATTCAAAAAGTGCAGCATTAATAACCAATTTATAATCTCGTTGAAAAATTATCGAAAGTCAAAATTTTGATGTTTAAAATTGTTGCTAAAATACCATTAGTAAATAGCTGAAATCCCTTGTCTTTAAAATTATGCATCTCTAATTAATTTAATTAAATGTATGTAAAATGCAACCGAATATCATAAAATCACATATGTATACATAATAAATTCAAATAAAAGAAGTGATTATATAAAAATTGAGTTCACTGATTAGGCAATTATTAAATCTTTGCATAATAATAAAAATTCATAATCTGACATAATACAAAATCTCATTATACAGATTAAAAAGCAAGTGCTTTGTGAAAAAAACTACTTAATAAAAATTGGAATCGACATATTGCATCTTACGGCAATGTGGAAATCAATGCTAAGATATGATATCTACACAGTCTCTGCAAAATATAAAATATAGTACAGTTATTGTAGTTATTGTAATAATAATTGAGTATTTTATAATTATTAGGGCACTAATACACGATTATTTTAATTATTACAACAGAAAATATATTTTTTAAAATAAATAAAAATGATTAACGTTTCGCAATATAATTACACAATACTTCACACATTACGATAACAAATTTTGTTTTTATAATTATAATACTATTTTTATTTCCTCTCTTTTTCTTCTTTAATCAGAAGTTTTAATCAAATATCTCACTATAATGCAGAGAATATAAGCAATAAACAAAATGTTATAGAATTCTATGATAAATTAACTAAAAATTACATTTGCAATTCTGTTGATTTGTCAGTATAAAGTCTATTAATATAATCTAATATCTTGTACCAACAGAAAGAGATCTCAAGCTCTTAAAATCTGTTATTTTAAAATAAAATTAATATTAATATTATTTTTAAATAAAATAAATGTATTATCATTTTGTTATCGTTTTGTGTATTCTTAGCAGAATCTATTGTTTGCTGGCATTCTGCTGATAAAAATTTGAATAATTTGCAAAATTTAAGTTTTTCAACAAATTTAACTATTTGTGATATGGTGTAGGATAAAGAAAAAATTTAATGTGAGATTTAATTTAGTAATTATCATTGTGCTATTTTTAGGTTATGTTGTGTCTATTAATAAAAAAATTTAATTTCTGCAAAGTTACGGCGTAGTGAGCTATTAATTACTCTGCAAGAAATATTACGTTTTATGTTTTCTCTCCTATGATACATTTAATATCATTATTCATTTATTTAGGAATCAATTGCAAATTAAAGTCTTGCCCAGCTGTTCGAGAGTCATTCGTCACATAATCATACAAAGTTTCTTAATATGCATGATATATTATAAAGTTCTATGTGAATAATACGCACTTTTTTTTTTAAATAATTACTGTGTGCTCAGAAATAGTTTGTAGTACAAACAAGAACCATTCCACTGCTCTTTACGTACTAATTTATGCATTTACTGATCTGTCTTCTGTACTAAACTACACTAGACTAGCACTTTCTTTTTCACTTTCAACAAATATCAAACATATACCTATCTTACGTCAAGTTCCAAAAATGTACACTACTTCAGCCACAGAAAACAGACCTTGTGCCTACCTGTCTGGTCTGATTATGTCTCCGACACACCAGCAATGTTTGTCGCGCGCGATACGCAATATCCAATGAGTGTATAGCTTTATTGATGTTTTCATTCTAAAGATATACTCTCATTGGATATCGCGTCTCGCGCGCGACGAACATCGTGTTGATGTGCCAGAGCCATTAGATGGGTTAGACCTTGGCATTGACACTCGAGTTACTAACGAGATATTATTAAAGACCGACATTCTTACGGGAATTAGCGTTCTTGTTAAAATTTAATTAAGAATAGGAAACTAATAATATAGTACTAATTTTATGATTATTAGTTTTGTAAAATACATACACACACAAAACTATTTAATGCCTAGTTATATTTTGGTCTTAAACGGAGAGCACAGACTCTTGCATAACGCATAACACATAAGACATAAGAAATTCAATCAGAGTTCTTTATTTCATGGAAAGGAAGAAAACGAAGAACTTTGATTAGTACATTTTCTCATGCATTACGTGTTATGCGTTATGCAAGAGTTTGTGCTTCCCACTTTAAAATTCAGCCAATGGAATAGATTTCATTTAGGACTAACAGCTCTATTTGATCTAGTTGAATTTTAGGATTTTAGGGTTGACCCAAAGCATAAATCGTTAATATAAATATTTGGTTAATATATTATCAAATTTATGATCTTTTATTACGTAATGCTCCGTAAATATGTACTTGTAATGCTATATCTTTATATACTGCCGCATCATTTTTTTTATAGTTATTATCTCTTTTGATAATTAATTTCGGACGATAACAGTTAAATCGTCGATCGCAGTTTTAAATAAAAATTCGAATATTTGAATTATGTCTGTCAGCAAATTTATATCAATTATCATTAATGTCAACGTTCAATTACCTACGAGCCCTCAGGATCCATTTTGTGAGGACAAAAATTGCCCAGGGTAGATGACCTATAAATTCAAATGAGGTACAATTATTAAAAATATATCTTTATGTATATTATTATATATTTATTTTTCTTTAAGTAACTTTCCTGTGATAATAAAAACAAGATTATATAATCTACTTTTCTTTACAACTTAAAATTAATTCTGTTGAATATATACACATGTCTTAAACACTAATTTCGTATTTCTATATATCATATAATGAATATATATATATATACACACACACACACGCGTACGCGTGCGCACGCACGCACACATGCACGCACACATGCACGCACACATACATACACATACACATACACATGTATATTTAAATGGAATACTATATTTTCGTATTTTTATTATACAAAATGAAAATTAATCTGCGCGTATAGATTATATTGATTTAAAAATGAAAAAATCAACAGAATAACAGAAATCATCATGAGAAGCAAT